CCTTTGCCCCATGACCCACATTTGGCCAACCCATGACCCACCTTTGCCTCCGTGACCCACCTTTGCCCCATGACCCACCTTTGGCCACCCCATGACCCACCTTTGGCCAACCCATGACCCACCTTTGTCTCCATGACCTCTCCATGGCCGCCCTATGACCCACCTGGAAGCGGGTGCGCTCCCCCATGACCCATCTTGTGCCTCCCATGACCCATCTTTGGCCCTCCATGACCCATCTTTGGCCCCCTATGACCCAACTTTGCCTTCATGACCCACCTCTGGCCACCCCATGACCCACTTTTGGCCACCCCATGACCCACCTCCGGCCACCCATGACCCACCTTTGCCTCCATGACCCACTATGGCCACCCGCAGCGGCAGGTCCGTCTCGCGGTCAAGGTCTACCACCAGGGTCTGTAGGAGGACAGACACTCAGAGAAATGAAGGACATTATGACCACCCGCAGCGGCAGGTCCGTCTCGCGGTCAAGGTCTACCACCAGGGTCTGTAGGAGGACAGACAGTCAGAGAAATGAAGGAGTTTTGGGCTCTGAAAAGCGGTGCAGTTTTTGCTGTTGTGTGGGTCACCCTGACACAGTTTTGCCAGTCAAAAGGGCGAATCTGTGGTACGAGCAGAAAACGTGAGAACATTTACACCAAATCTTAGGTTCCGGGCCCATACTTTCAAAAAAAGTTAAGAGATCGTAAGTTCATCAGCCAATCATTGACGGCCTTTCAAGCAAAATCCACCAATCATAGACAAGAAGATAGAGGGTAAGTACTTACGTTCACTTAGCGAGTTTTGAAAGTAAGGCCCCTGATCTGTAAAATAAGACCCCAGCACGACCTCAATTAAAGAAGACCACCCATGGCCCGCCTAGAAGCAGATGCACTCCCCTTGACCCATCAATGAACCCCCATGACCCACCTTTGGCCACCTCATGATCCACTTGGAAGAGAGTGCACTCTCCCGTCACCCGTTAGAAGTACAGCATCCAGGAGCCGTAGTTTCAAATCATTACTAAGTGCTCGTAGCGAACACTTAGTAATGCTTAAAAAGGTAGCTAAGTGCAGCGTAAGTGCGCTAAGTGCGCGTAACTCCAAATGATGGCACATTCAAAACATTTTGCGTAAAGTTACGTGCAATGAGTTGGACGTAACTTTGCGACAATTCAGAGGTCGCGGAAGTGGAGTTACGCCTAAATTTTGAGTGAGTGAAGCTATTGAAGAGTGACCAATCTTTGTCCCCTCCATGACCCACATTTGGCCACCTGGAAGCGGGTGCGCTCCCCCATGACCCACCTCTGACCTCTCGTGCAGGGCACCCATCTTGTGCTCCTCCATGACCCATCTTTGGCCCCATGACCCACCTGGAAGCGGGTGCGCTCCCCCGTGGCCCGCTGGAAGTACAGCACGGCCTCCAGGACCTTCTTGTGCCCCCCCGGCAGGAGGCAGACGCCCCCCAGTATCTCCAGGACGAGGGTCCGCGTCCTGAGGTTGCGGCTCGCGAGGGACAAGCTCAGCACCTTCAGGCACGAGGGGTGGGCCAGGGTGTGCTTGCGGTTAATAGTGATACTGATGATAGTATGGTGTCCAATGGGTCAAATCTAGCATGTTACGGATTCTAGACATCGCAGAATTTTCACAGCTTGTTGGGGTTTCGAACCCGCAACTCAATACCCCTATCAAACGACCACCGTGCCTATTTTGAACAGAATTTTTACAGCTTATTGCGGGTTTCGAACCCCCAACTCGCTGCTACCAACTCGCTAATCTAATCTTAACCACTCGGTCACAACTCGGACATAAATGAAATTAAATTCAAAGAATTAAAAAAAAATAATAATAAAATGACAAGTGTTGATAATGTGAATAAATCACTGGCGACATTAATGTATTACTCACCGTGTTATTCATGAGGGCTTTGAAGCAGCCAATGAGATGCGTGTGAATAGATGAGTCACCCCCGTTCCAGCTCCAGCCTGGCGGCATGTTCAACATGGCCGACTTCTCATCATCTTTCTCCTCTTCTTCCGATTCTTCTTCACTGGAAACTTCATCTTTACTTCCCTCACTTCCTTCTTCTTGATCGGATGTTCTTATCCCTGAGTCTTCACTTCTGATTTTGTTTAATTTGTGATTTTCTTCTTCTTCATTATCAGTTTTCAGGTCACCATCCGCCGTTTTCTTTGCCTCGTCTGAAGTTTTCTGTGAATCCAGCCCCGTTTTCTGTGAATTGCGCGCGTTTTTCTTTCTTCGTTTAGGGAGGCGGACTAAATTAGCTCCATTAAGACGTGACAAAAAAGCCAATAGTGCAGCTAGTCCATCGGCTTCAATAAATTCACACACAAAGCTGTTTGACTGTGTGGCCAGCGCAGATTTTATGTTTTCTGTATATTTCTGCCAGCACTGCAGCTGATAGTCGTCTGCTGGTCCAGGCAGGCGACTGTACTCCCACAGCTTGCTGATGTATGCCTCGGGGCGCTCGACTGTCGTCTGCACAGCACAAACAATTGATTAGCGAGATTATAAAATGAGAATTTTGCCAGATATCACTAGCGTGGCATGACTAATGATTAAAGACTAGGCATTAAGGACTATGGATTAATTACTAAGCATTAAAGACTAAACATTAAGGACTAAGCATTAAGGATTAGGGACTAAGCAGTAATTAAGTTACCCTTTTGGTGCGCATAGTATTAGGCTACGGCCAGACCAAAAGCATTGACGCCGACGCGGGCTGACGCTCGCTGAAGCTGCAATATTATATGTATGTTTTTCTACCAGAGTGGCCACATTAGACGCGTACAGACACAAGCTGCACCGCGCGATGAAATATCCACATTACTCCAGGGGCCATACTTTCAAAACTCGCTAAGTGAACGTAAGTACTTACGACCTCTTTTCTTGTCTATGATTGGTGGATTTTGCTCGATAGGCCGTCAATTATTGGCTGATGAACTTACGACCTCTTAAATTTTTTTGAAAGTTTAGGCCCTGATATATATGTATATATTGTCGCGCTGTGCCGCGCGTTCAGTGCCCTTGTAGCAGCCGTGAGGGACGGTAGTCGAAGTATTTTCCTCGTCAATTCAATTTACTGCTATGTGTTCTCATCCACAACACAGCGACAGGATATACCTATATTATATAAAGAACGAAAATTAATAACAAGTTTATTTGGATTACTTTTTATATTAGAAAATTGCACATGCGCATGAGGTCTATCTGTATTGAGGTTAGACTCGCGCCGTATGCATCATATGTAACCTTTTAAAATATCCATCTAATCTTATCCAAATGGATTCCAAAAAAGATAAAACAAAGTATATTTAGGGTTTTTAAATTTATCTTTCATTTCCCCATAAAACTTCCATCAAGGATGCTGTTTATAGTCTCTTGTTGACACTCATTTCAACACACTGACGCCGTAAGCTGCGCGGTCCAGGGTCTGGTGTGGCCACTACACGCGCAGCGCGGCGACGCTTGAAGCGTCAGCGTCAACGCATTTAGTCTGGCCGTAGCCTAAGCATTACATTAAGCATTAAGGGCTAAAGTCTAAACAATAAGCACTAGGGACTAAGCATTAAGCACTAATGACTAAGCGTTAAGAACTAAGGACTAAGCATTAAGGCCTAAGCCCTAAGTAAGCACTAAGTTACCTTGGTGGTGCGCATGGTATTAAAGTCGTGCAGCAGCTGCACTTGCTTCTCGTGCGGGAAGCTCAGGATGCCGCTCTTCTGCGTCGCCGAGAGGTCCAATTCATCCTGAATGAGGCCAACATTCAACATTCATCGTCATGCATTTATCCTAATTATACATTCATTCATCAATTTAATTAATCAATTCAATTAATTCAATCAATTCATTCATCGTCAATTCATTCATTCATTCATCCAATTCATCCTGAATGAGGCCAACATTCAACATTCATTGTCATGCATTCATCTTAATTATTCATTCATTCATTCATCATCGAGTAATCAATTCATTCAATTCACTGATAGGTCATTCATTCATCAATTCAATTAATCAATTTAATCAATTCATTCATAAATTATTCATTCATTCATTCATCCAATTCATCCTGAATGGGACCAACATTCAACATTCATTGTCATGCATTCATGCTACTTATTCTTTACATTTTTTTCATTTTAACAGCAATCATTTAATGAATTTAGCATTATTTAAATAATTCATTGATCATCTTATTAATTTAGAGACCATTTAATTGAAATATATTATATAATAATCATTATAACTGAATGATTGTTAATTTCGAGACATAATTTCATCTATTTTCAACACATATAACTAATGTTTACTGACCGCACGTATTAATTGTTAGATTTTAGGTACGAATAGCATTGATGACGGTTAATGTATCGGTAAATAAAGGCTCGAATAACTAATTAGACTCGCGAGCAGTTCGGCGAGTCGGTCTTTCAGCTGATCGTACGTATTGTTAGATTTTAGGTACGAATAGCATTGATGACGGTTAATGTATCGTGAAGGAATCTCTCAAATTTTATTCCATTAAAAGTAGGAACCTTCCTTCCCCCCAAAAGGATACTCAAGAAGTAGAAGCTGGGCCCTAAAAAGAACGAACCTTTCAAATTTATAATTCCATTAAAGGTAGGAACCTTTTAAATATGTATAAACTCCATTAAAAGTAGGAACCTTTCAAATGTATCAACTCCATTAAAAGTAGGAACCTTTCCTGCTCCTAAAGGATACTCACGAAGCAGAAGCAGGACGAGTACCACTCCTTCCTCCTCAGCTTGGCCATGGGCGTCGCCATCTTGAAAGGACTTTTCGTATTCTTATTTTTCGGCGGAGAATTTCGGAACGCTGTTATACAGAAAGGGTTTCTTGCCCGACCTTTTCCAGGGAACTGACGGGTGTTTGATCTGTTGATTTTGAGGTTTTTGATGAATTTCGTGAAACGGATGCGCTTCCTGAAAGATAATTTCGATGCAGTACCGTTCGAAGTGAACTTGGCACCAGGAAGTGAACTTGACACCCAGGAGTTATCTTGGACTTGGAAAGCGTTGGAACGGCTGTTGGCATCCGATGCAGTAAACAACAATTCGGTTTTCGTGATGTAAGGTTCTTGGCTATTCTTTACTAAATCGCCAATTTCACGTTGTGATTCATTTGTGAACTCTGGTTTTTGAGAACCGTCATGTTCTTTTCCGTTGGAACTGATGGTTGTTTCGATGGCTGCATGTCGACTTTCCTCGATTTGGTAGATCTTCAAGTCTCCCGGCAGGTGGAAAGGTAACTGCTGGAGTAAGTCAAATGTGTTTTCACTTTCCTGATTCCCTGATTTACAGCCACTGTCGTCAGCACAATCTTGTGTAGTTTCTGTAGCACATGTGCTTATTTCAGAGCCGCACAAACTGATAGGTGATCCACAGCGTCTCACTCGACTAGGTCGAACAGGGGGTGGTAACGGTTTGGTAGGCGGTCGGTTCTTGCACTCACCAGCAAGATTTTTTAATCCGTTTTCGTTAGGGTTTGGATTCAGCAGAGTATTCTCGGCTCGATGAACAAATTCATTTGAATTATACTGACTTCCAGGTGCCTCTGCGGAGATATAGAACTCGTCAGCTCGTAACCCTGCGTGTGGATGCTCGATCTCAGGGCGAGGACGACGCAAAGTTTCTTCCTTCGACTTTGTCTTGGTAAAGCCAAGTTGTTGGCTGAAACTTGGAAGCTGTGGAAGATTCAGTGATGACACAGAACTCTTAAGACTCTTCTTGGCGGTTTTCAGTCCAGTTCTGTTGAGAGATTTGCGAAATTTTCTTAGGTTTTGAGAGAAGAACAGGCTTGGTCTACAGCGGCGATCCCAACACAAATGATTATTTGGCGTTTGTTCTAAAATACCAAGAAATTGAACAAAACTAAACTAAATTTAACTGATTAATGGAATTTTACTTCCAATGTGTGCGCAACATTTGTTATTGCAACCAACCCAGCGTTCGCAGAGTTGCGTTGGCAGTATTAAGAGAAAAAAGCGGAAGTTTTTTACACAATTATTTTCTGAATACCTGAGAGAGGACGGCAGCGCGAGGTTATGGTGGTGGTGATTGTGCAGGTAAGATGTCTCGGTCCAGGTATTGTGATAAGCTTCCTGTTATTTTCATAGAGAATAAACTCATAGAATATTTCTTTAACATATTACTAGCTTACATCATCAGAACTTGTATGTTTTACAACTTATTTTTATGTTTTACCATTTCTAACGTCATGTTTCAGAATTTTCAGGCACTATATACACTTTCGTACATCATCCTCCATTAGACTTTGTAATATGATTAGTTCTGACACTCAGATAACTCAGTCAATCTTTGTCCAAGTAGGCATGCATCTTATGTCCTTGTGTAGGTTATCCTAACCCAGTTTGGCCATGCAAAAGTAATATCAGCGTTACGCACCGAAAGGGTCAATATTTGAACAATTTGACGCATTGATTCCTCCAAGTGCAACCTAAAACTTATCATTGCCCCTGCCCCCCATAACTGGTCATACCTTGAGCTCGTCCAGGCAGAAGGCGGGGTTGGTCACACCACCACGGGAGGTGGTATCAGCTGGTACAGGTGGTACAGCGGGTGGTACCGGGGTGCTGCGAGGAGTACATCTGCAACGTGGGTACCACGCAGCTAATTTTTAGCATCTTTTCTTCAGTCCAAATATATTAAAGATACCGTATTTATTATAAGTATTAAGGATCGTATAAGTCTCGTATATTATTATAATAATACTTTTTATATTCACTTATTACAAGTATATCGGCATTTATTCATATAATGCTCAAATTCCATTGACTAGTGCCATGTATAATTGGTATGCATTTGGTACAATACTTAGTAGTTACTATGTAGTATACAGTATACTATTGGTAATTATTATTATTATTAATAATATAATAATCTATTATTGATAGGTTGTTACCAAAAACCCCTTTTATTGGTAGGAAGGTTGTCAGTAGTTCGGTGTTACTGTTATCATACCTGACTGATGAGCAGGCAGCTGGGGGAGTAGAGACCAGGGGAGACCCAACGAAAGTTCGGTGGTAGTTGATATTCCTCACCAAGTCACCCAGGCTCTGGGGAAGACAATAATACATAAAATAATGTTAGGAATAACCGTAATTTGATTCTAATAAATAATTATTATAATAATTATTTTAATAACAGTCATTGCTGATATCAACTTCTTAAAATAGCGCGCAGGTAACATGTATTCGTATATAAGCCCGGAGTTCGTATATAAACGAGTACGCTGATGTATCAACCTCAACGGCTACCAAGTGTAACAGAGGGGCCACGTGCCCGGCACAGAGGGACCACGTGCCCGGCACAGAGGGACCACGTGCCCGGCACAGAGGGACCACGTGCCCGGCACAGAGGGACCACGTGCCCGGCACAGAGGGACCACGTGCCCGGCACA